GAGAGAGAGAGAGAGAGAGATCAGTTTAGAAGCGTTCTATAAAACCAGTCACCCTGGAGGCATCATAATGTTATCCCTTGAAACAATGGTCTTTTCGTATATCCTCGAAAACAAAAACAAGAAAAGGAAGCAAAAGGATGAACCAGAATAAACTTTACCAGAACCAGTGGCAATCTCCAGTCCCTTCCCTGCTACAGGGACGGTAACATCTGTTGAAGTTGTTGATTTCTCGTCTGACTCTGCAGACCTCAAATCAGAACCGTTAAGAGAGTTGGGAGGCAACGAAATTACTGCACTGTTGCTTGTATTTTTCAAATCTACCCTTGGACGAGATAACTTGTCACCAGCACTTATTGATGCATTACTAGAACCATTCGATTTAAAGGAGTTTATCCTTTTGAATGAACCCTCTTTTCCGAGCTTTGTCCCTCTGGATTCATCAGCACGAGATGAGCTCTGAGCCTGAGCATGTATTTTTGAGGAGTTGGGGTTTGTACCAGATTTAAACGATGCTGATTTACTCAGGGTTTTATTTGCTTCCTCTTTCTTGGAATGGTTTCCTGAAACATCTCTGGTCATGACTTGTTTCCCAGGAGTTTCCACTGAGACAGGCTTGACCTTTGGTTTTGGTTTCAAGGATTGCAAAGAACTGGACTTCACATCTGGAGATTTGGAGAGGATGGGACTCTTAGAAACCAAGCTTGAATGCACACCTGGAGAAACAATTCCACCAATATTTGATCGTAGGGCATCTCTGGGCAATCTGCTAAGAGATGTAAATTTACTACGAGAAGAATGAAGCCTCGATTGCACTTTTGGTGATGACGGGTTAAGACCAGAAGGAGAATGTGACTTGCCGTTGTCTTGAGAACTTCGACCAAGTTGGCTTCCAGATGAATTTAACAAATGGGTTGGTTTCGTTTTCCCCATTTCTAAGTTCTTGGAGGAACCATCTCTAGAGAGCATAGGTTTCTTGCTAAGACCTGATACCCTCTGCCCACTTGATGGCCCCTCAAGAGCCTGCCTTTTGCTCAAAGAACTTGTATCTGAATTTTCAGAGGGTCTCTTGGAAGACAAGCTAGGAGAAGGCACAAGTTTTGAGGATTTGCTTGTGTCTTGGTCTGGCACCTTAATATTCAATTTTGATGAAGGTTTTGAGCTGGTGGGATCCCTAGAATTTTGGCTTTTTTCATTTGAGTACACTGGTTTTGGAGTTGGTAACAACGTTCCAATCTTGTTAGGTTTCTTGTTCTCCGCCTGCTCCTTAAGCTTGCATTCCTCACAAAGCCATTCACCTTCGGGCAGTTTATCCAGCATTATTTGCATGCAGTAGCTGCATGAGAGCAAAAAAAGTTGCAGGGTGTCATCCTAAAGATAATCAGATAATGAAATACCCAGATAACTTCACGAGTGCATGGGCCACAAACATGCATACATGCACATGACATGTATACATAGTGGCACAGGCGTGGCACCTGATATACCTCATATATATTGTGAATGTGTGTGTGTGGGTATAACATCTACAATGTGTTTGGACTAACAAAAATCAGAACTATAGAAATCAAACTTACGTGTGCTCTGCACCATCACTACATCTGCTACAGATAGCAAGCAAATCCTCCCGACCTGTATCGCCACAGATATCACAGACTTTTACCTATTCCCAAACAACAGTAGAAGATATTAAAATGATTAGCTTACTAAAGATATCTTCATTTTTTTTACATCAGAATTTTTTACTTTGAGACCTTTGATGAATATCACATTCTCTCTAACTCTATTCATCTCTGTATACACGTATTGGTTGCATTCATGTGCATTGGATAAGAAACTAAACACCAAATACATTTAAGCTTCCCAAGGATAACAAGTAACATGAAGATATTACTCCAACACAATGAAGATCACTGCGAAAATGAGAACCAAATAAATACAAAAAGACCTATTAAAGGAATGAACATGGATAATCAATGATAAACACTAAAACATGTACTCTAGTGTAGTCTCCCTGCCACCTATTGGTGTTTTCATACAGGAAGGAGGGCTCAGTATAGAAATAGCATAATTGAAAGACATTGAAGTTTCCAGGTTATAAATCAAGAGGTCTAACTCAATGCATGAAAGCAGTCTACTGCATATGGTATATCAGACCCACAACTGAACTAAACAAAATATTATTCCCCATAAATGAACTAAACAAAATGTTATTGGAACAAAACCACCTATTAAGGTTTTCAGAGAGGAAGGAGCGCTTAGTATAGTAATAGCATAATTGAACGACATTGAAGTTTCCAGGTTATAAATCAAGAGGTCTAACTCAATGCATGAAAGCAGTCTACTGCATCTGGTATATCAGACCCACAAATGAACTAAACAAAATGTTATTCCCCATAAATGAACTAAACAAAATGTTATTTGAATAAAAACAAAACCGAGTTCAGGTTTCATAATACTCACATCATCTTCTACGAGATCAGAGCCAGAGTGTTCACTCTCAGAGACCGGCTGAGACACTTGTGGTGCTTCCTTAGTATTGGATATCTCATAAGAGGTACTGGACTTCTCTACTTGTTCATCTTGTACCAGACAGGTCTTCTTAGTTTGTGGCTCCTTTGAGTCTGAACCAGCACAAGGACCAAGTTCAGAGCCCAAGTCATGCTCGTTGTCCAAGCATGGGTGGATTTTCATTGTGGCCACAGAAGAAGAATTACCCCTAATCCCACCATCCTTATCATTTGTCCCCCCTGCAACAACATTTGAAGTTTCAAGAAGTAGGCTTGATCTCTCTGAAGGTCCTCTCTTGTGCTGAGAGCTTGAATTCTCTCCAGAGTCCTTTGAACCCGAACTACAAATAGCCGAATCAGTACTGTGAGAGGAAGATGATGGAACCACTTTGCTTGGTGAACAACTCCCTTTAGAAGCATTAATATCACTCACTGGTAACTTTAGATCTTTGGGTTTCCTCAATAGGCATTCTGATACTTGTTCACAAGGGTCAGTTGTAAAAGACCCTATATCACATGTAACAGGGGGATGAGATGAAATGGAGGCATCTTCCAGAACAATATTGTTTGGTTTATCAACAGTTTGATCCACCTGACTATTTCCCTTTGATGGCAAAGGCCCAGCACAGTTATTAGAACCATTAGTAATGAGAGGGTTTGCATCTGAGACATCAACATTTTGGGTAAATTCTTTTAAATGATTCTCCTTTGCCTGCCGATCACAACTAGGCAGCTTAGTACCACTGTCTGCCAGATTGTAAACAGATGCATCTACTCTGTGGACAGTTGCTTTGCTTTCTCCATTTTGAGAGATAGAGTCATGACTTGAACTTGCACTAGCTAAATTGCTTGTTTCACTACCATCATTGGATGCCCTGCTTTTAGGAAGAGAAAATGTATTGTTACCAGTTACATGGTGCCTTCTAACTGCTTTTCCACTATAGAGCTCATCAGATGAGATATCTTCAGTCTTCAACTCTTTATCAGCAACAGGTGGAGTAAGGCTACTGGGATGCATCGTATCGTCAGTCAGAGAATGCTTCACCAATTTTTTTTCTTCAGCTTCAGCTCCCACCTATTAAAAAACCCGGTAGTAAAAATACAAACTACCGAACAACGAGCAAGTAATAAAATTTCAATCTTAGAGAAACATCCCTGAAGTTGGCTAGATAAGACAAATGCACCATAAAATGTGAAGGGCTACTGGCAGATAATAGACGACCAACAAAACAACTCCACAAACTACCAAATCGTTTCACCCATTGTTGGAAAAATCGCCCGTTCTAACCGGTAACCGCTCAGTTAGATCGAAACCGGCCAATGGCCGGTTCTAGTTTGGGCCGGTTTTCATGACCGGCCAGATATTTTAAAAAAAAATTAAAAAATATATAAAATCACAAAAAATAAGGGATTTTGTTTGTAATGTATTTTTAATGTTTTCCATCATTATGGAAAAAATTGGAAATTGTTTTGGCCAGTAATATTTATTTTTACATTTTCCCATCTTTTTTTTAGAAAATTTAAAAAATACTCTTGGACACAAATCGATTCTTTAAAATTCATTTTTTCATTAATTTTCAACTTCATTTGGATGTGCTTTGTTTAATCATTCTTTAAATATACTTTTCATAGTTTAGTAGATTTTTTTGTATTTTTTTAACACTTTTTGTCCGCCCGGGACTTGCCCAGTTAAAATGGTTGAACTGGCCGGTTTACCGATTAGGCCGGTTGAACTGCTTCCAAGCCCATGTCCGGTTAACCGTTCCGGTTCGATTTTTGAAACACTGGTTTCACCTAATGATCCAGTATGAGGGTTCCACATAATCAAAACAAAACTCAACCTACAATCCTGAAAAAATATAACTAAACTGCATAGAAGGCAATGGGAGTCTGGAACTTGGAAAATCCAAGAGGAACAGAAAAAGTAAAAAATGTATTTCAAACCACCTAGTCTATAAAATCAGTAAAATTTTCATCAAAAAATTCAAGACCCCAACAAAAATGGTAAACAAATTTAGAAAATGATAATAACTATAAAATAAACATAATAGCGTTCCTACAATAACAAAGGGACATGAGATGATAATGCATATATATGGCATGAACAAGTCTGGCTCACCGTGTTTGCTTCAATTTCAGATCCTGAGTCATCCACAGGTCCTTGCATGCGATAATTCCCCTGTAAAACTGGAGTAATCTGAAAAAACAGATAATCATCACAATAGCTTGTCAATTCCAATATAGAACAATGGACAATAACTGTGCAGTTCCAATCAGTTCTAATGAAGAATTCAATCTCAATGGCTAGATTCCAGACAAAATCTGAAGATTTAAGACTAAAGATCCATGAGAGATTGACAAAGGGAACATGGATTTCATGATATTGAACAATGCAAGCAAGATCCTAAATATTAACTTTCCATATATAATCAGGAAAAGGACACTTGCTACTCTTTTCATTGCATGAAAGTGCAAAGTCTAAGCACAATTATGCAAAGATATATTTGAATTTAGAAGACTTGGGACTTCAGATTATACATTAGAAACTTATCCCAACATACACAGAATATTAGCTTTTTGTGTGTGTCGCATGTACATGCATGCCTGATTAGACATTTACACCATATTACGAAGTCATAATGTCTTTTTCATTTGAATTTTACAAAGTTCATAATATCACTAATTACATTCAAAAGATTATGGAACTCCATTGGCAGCAAGTATGCAGCCCCTCCATAAACTTTGTAATGTTGAGGTGTCATAAGTAGGATTTTGCTAAATCAATATTCAGATCATAATAAGCTTGCAAATGAAGGGTGCTAAGGATATAAGTAGCCGGATAATTGTTTGACTTATGCACAACAAATGAAACAATGGCAGTGCCTCTCTTCTGCTAAGAAGCATAATGCTGAATCCACCATCCTCCTAGACAATAAATATTTATCGCGTGTGGAGTTTAAGGGAAACTCCTGTGAAGTTTGTAACTTGATAACGAGACCATAATACCATAGTACCAAGATATCTTAAGGTACCCTTTGAAGCAATTCATAAAAATTCAACAAAATAAGTCAATATCACATTGTTATGAAGTCTGGGAAGCCAATATTTGCCACCATCAACTAGGCGGTTGAATTGCTAAAGAGACCCCCTATATGAATAACTCATCGACAATTGTCTCTCCGATAGATACCAAATAACTTCAGGCAAACTTGATCACTTTGTTATCAAACATAACAGACACAAATAGCAAGAGATAGGTCGCCTAGCCATAATTTAGTTCACAAACATTGTGAATCAACAATCATTCAAGGCTCATGCTGATACATACTTCAGACCCAGTACGGTGGATAACATTAAATGCCGCTTGAATGTGTTGGATTCAGAGGCGAGTGCTTTTGTGATATGATGCATAAATTAATAGAACCATGCCCACAAGTTAAATTCAGCAATAATTTGTTTTTTATGATAATTTCATTAAAATTTGGTTCTAAGACTTAACAACTGTACTTTGATAGATCATTGGATCTTTTGATGAAATCGACAGAGCAATGATGTACTACTGTCTAGGTTACTTCTGAGTTGTAACCATAGAATTTGAAAGGACTAACAATGCCTTTGGATATTGTGTTTTCACCTAGTGAAGGAATAGAGACTTTAATGCTTCAAATTTTCCTGAATGCTATCCATTGCTTCTCAACTACCAAAATTATTCATTAGAAAAGCAAGACACATACGATGAATATTCAGCTTGCACTTATTACAAAGCTGGTTTACCAGTCTTTAAGAGTATGGGTTCTTATATTGCTCCTCATGTGTGAATTTTTGTTTTTTGAAGGTTAAATATAAATAGCATTCACTAATTGATGCAATCTTTACAAAATTGTAATTTCTCAGATAACTGTACATTACTTCTAAAATGTGTACGCTATTTAATATTGTCGACAACCACAGCAGTGGAGTTTCTAGTCCATCCTTTCTGAGTGCAGGATTCTGCTTGCTATACACTTCGTTACTAAAATGCATACGCTATGATCTTTACAATTATGCGCACTATTTAATATTGTTGACAACCATAACAGTGGAGTGCTTGCAATCTATTCTTCCTGAGCAAGAGAGTGCTTGCTGCTACCATTCCCACCAGATATGAGAGAAGGATCAAGCACCTCCTCTCTATCAAAAATTTCGGCCAAAATGTTATTGACGTGCCAAAGGCAGCTAGCATTGAATCGTGTTCTCTGAGTCCCCTTCAATCCACAGCGGGTCTCCCCATCAGTATTGTAAAGCATACTCCCTTGAGAAGTGCAGGAGCTTCAGCTATTCTTACATCACAATTCACAGATGAAAGCATATTCTGAGTACGACACTAAAAAAAACGTCTATGGTCTCCAAATATACCTCGGCATCCATCTGGGCCAAGATTGCAGAAAGAACTTCCATTGACCTTCAATATCACAACATCTTGAGGTGAGGGTTCCAATTAAAAGAAAGAAACCTAGGAGTATGGGCTTTGTTGTGAGACTCCTTCCAATTGGTCAATAAATTGACTGCCACAACACCCAAAAATTCTTTGCCAACACCTTACCAACTAATGAGTAAACCTTGGGAGTAGTTGCAATGGGAAATTCTTTGACCGTTTCTAGAGATAGGCACACTAGAGAGCAAACATTTGGAGTAGTCATGATCAAGGTTCCTGCTAAGTGCATCTGCAATGATTGCAAATAAAAAGGGAGGCAATAGGTCTCCTTGCCTTGAGCCTCTTGTCCTAGGTAACCACGAGGAACCTCATTGATTAAAACAAAAAAAGGTGCCGAGGATATGCATTCCTTATCCATTTTCTGAATTTTGGCCCTAAGCACATCTTTGTCATTATGTCTTTGAGGAATGGCCAATCAACATGGTCATAGGCCTTCTCCAAATCAAGCTTGCATGTCATACCTTTGGATTTTGACTCATGAAGGACTACCAAAGCCCTACCGAGTGCCAGTCCCAAGCTGGTCATGCCAGTCCCAAGCCCAGAGAAAGGACGAGGGTTGGACAGGTTAGCAGAGTATAGAACTTTTGCCACATCTATTTCATGAATCCTGGTGCATGGGGGAACAAGCCCACCCCAAATAGTTGGCATAAGGCTCGGATGATGATGATGACGACAATGAAACAACATAGATTAGAAGTTGTCTTTAGGGAAAAACTCTATTAGGTTGAACTCAAGGATTGAAGAGTAGAGCTGGGGTTAGATAAGAATAAAACATATGCAAGTAACTCAATCAATGATTGAATTTACTTACTCATGGCACAAAATTGCCCGGAGTCCCATAATTAGCCCTTGAGGGCATACAATCCACTTTGAACCAAAGGAAGGGTGATATGAATGGCATTTACTTTTTCTAAAATTAAATTAAAACAGAAAACATAGGTAAAAACTATATAATACAAATTCATAAGCAAAAGGAGAAAAAAAAAAACAGCAAGCATACCACAGACAAGTACACCAATATATCAATTATATATTCCATAGTTATCCCAATGAAAAGTTTTCCGAAACTTAGATCAATTAAAAAACAAAAAAGTAGAGTTGCTTAAGCATATAAACAAAATATGATTGCTTATATCAAAATCAAACTACTAGAATGAGTTTCCAAAAATATCTCTACCATGTATTGTTATAGGATAGAAGAAAAAATAAATTATGAACACATACTGTAGAATGAAATTCGTCTACATAGACTCCATAGAAGCCAAAAAAGAGAGAAGGGCTGGTCATGCTTCAAAAAGAATGGCTCGGGTGCTCTAAAAAATCATATATTACAGTCGTTCAACCAGCTATTAGCATATTTGGTAAGTCCCACTGACCTTTATTATTTTGATCAATAACTACTTGTCTGAAAGATGCACTATTTAAAAACCATGGAAGTGCATTAAAAGTCACAAAGCTGTGTGAATAAAATCACGTACTTTGCAGATAGCAAATGTCTAAACGAGGGCTACATCTGAAAATTTTCATGCAAATTTCTGCTTCAATAAATTTCAGGATATTCATGTACAAGTCTCCTTAAAGTGCGCAGCAACATCTAACCTTTCTTTTTAAAGTACAACTTTAAATATAAATGGTTGAATGCCATCATTTTTATATGTTTTTGGTAAGAAGTAACTAGTAAGGGATGAAATTGGGAAATGTAAATCATAGCCCAGTTTCCAAGGATATGCTCCATATATTCTCACTGCCTGTGGGAGATAAGTTTCTAAAGGATCTTTAATCTTAATTTTGACGATCACGAATGCATACTTCATGGCTATTCAATCAGACCTAGGCACTATTACCCCGTTTCCCTCCATCAGCAGTGAGGAAAAATAGAGAGAAAGAAAATAAAATAAGATACACATTTGCCTATAAAAGATTACCAAATTGGATATATTATAACAGAGTGAACATAATCTTCAAACCATCCAAACTTAAAGCCTATGGTAAAATTTACTCAAGAGTCCTACTCGTAAATAAAGATGCCATAGCCTTGAGCTTAAACTTACATTGATTATACTGCTAACCATCTCAGTGGCTACAAATTCATAATAAAATACCATATTTAGAACATTTTCAGCAATTTTAAAAAATGGTGTCCCCAGTTGATAGAAATGGATAATCATTTACAATAGAAGCACTTTGGACACTTTAGGAGAACTAGGGGCTCTACATCCATACCAAATGTGACGGGTATTTCGGTTGGCATTATACATATCAAAATTCAAAAGTTACTTGTTCATGCAAGAGCTAAGAAGCATATACTTGGGAGTCTATCTCGATCTACCAGCCTGAATAATGAATAATGATAAATTTCCCATCCCAACTCCAATAGGTCCATTCAAAGTCAAGACTAAAAATAATTTAAAACCCAATATTGCGAGAATCAGGATTAAAGGTAGCAAAGCAATATCTTCTCAACAAGCGTGAGATGACAATGGATTTGCTTCTCCAAAAGTAGGTGTAAATGTAAAGGGTAGTGAATCAGTCCCCAGGGCCAAACGCCATCGAATTTCCATAACCAACGGAGCCTCCTCCATTAGATTATAATAAAATGGCATTAGAAGTAGCTAAAATGCCTTTCGCATGCCACCAGAAGTGGCCAATGAACCAATTGTAGAGGTCTCTCAATTGGTATATATTTTGATCAATAAAACCTAAAGGCATTCAGTCCTTTCGAATAAGAACAACAACAATAATCAGAATGAACAAAAAATAGAAAACTGTTTGATTATTCATGTACGTTCCTCTGAGGAAGGAATTACGCAGTGATATATTATTGGAGAAAAAGAGATCAAGATAACAAAAAAGCAATGAGATGAAGGTGAAAACAATAGGAATTGAAATCAGTACAAGCAACCCAAGTTGATCAAAATGATGGCTTTCAAATTGAAACAAATAGAAAAACGAAAACCATTGATTCAATCAAACTGAAAACAGTCATTCAAAGAAAGACAATGAGTTTTTGTTTCAAATCCAGCATTTCACCCATGTTGGCAACAATATAAAAGCCCTAATTGCGGCAACATGAACACATTCATAAACTTCAAATATAAGTATCGATCCCAAATGAATTAGAAGGATACCCAATATCAAAACCCAACTAAGAACAATGAAAAGCCCCAAAAATCTCTAAAAATTCGATCTTGTAGCATACCTTAGGCTTCGATATCACTGGTAAGAGCCCATACAGCTCCTTGATGCTCCTCTCGTTTCTTCTCACCATCACGAAACAGACCAGACCAAAAGAAGGGATTATACGTTTTCAATTATCGATAACCAGTGGCTAAAACCCTTTCCATGTCCAAATAACCAGTACCTGTATCCATACGCCTCAAATTCTTGCACCATGTGAGGGAGGCGATCAAATGAAGGGGCCTAGAGAGAGAAAGCCACTAGTGGATTGGGGAAATTGGTGCTTTGGGGTGTGGAAATTTGTGGATCTGATGCAATGGTCCCTCTAAAAATCAAAACCTATCTCACGAAAACTGCTGCTCTCTCTCTAGAAAAACTCCTCTCCCTCTCACTCGAAATGGTTTCTGCAAAAAGAGGGGAATTGTGGGTGGTTTATATACGCAGGGTGGGATGGCTTGGCAGAGGTTAATTGAGGGTTGCAGAAGGAATCAGAGACCGCGCGTGCGGATCCTTAGCACGCGTGTGACATTTGCACACGCGTGATTTGCTCCCTCTATAGTGCATTGTTCGACATCTCTCTCCCATTGGGCCTGACAATGGACTCGGGCTAGGCCTGCAACTTTTTGGTCTGGCTTATAATGTTTTCATGTCGGGTCTGAAACAGACCTACGTGTTAGGGCCACCCCAACCCTTGTCTCCATAGGGTTGACTTAGCCTGGACTGGATGGGTTGGCCCAAAGAAGCCTTGGGGCCCAGGCCGGCCATGGCCCTAGCAGCCCGAGGCATAGTCAAAACTAATGAAGAAACAAACAAAATAAAAAAAGAAGAGAAAATAGGGCATGGGCTGCTCGAATCGGGCCAACCTTATAGTGCCTCCACCCTGCCCTCAGGCCACAATTTTTGGCTGAGGTCCTAATTTTATAGGGCTAGAATGGGTACGGCGCCCAGCAAATTGCTCACCTGCCTATAACTAGCCCGTATATGTCATAAATATATATTACTTATACATTGTATTTATTTTTTTTGCCTATAAAATGAGTGTAGCTAAAATGAGGATGTTGAGATGGATGAGTGGCAAAATAAGAAAGAATAGGATTCAGAATAAATACATAACAGAGAATTTAGGTGTGGCACCGATAGACAATAAGATGAGGGAAAGTAGACTTAAGTGAGTTGATCATGTGCTGCACATACCAAGTACAACACCTCTTAGGAGGTGCGGGTTAGTTCAAGTGAATGGCTAAAAAAAGACAAGGCCTAATGCCAAAAGAACATATAGTAAAAATATATATGAGGACTTATGACCACATTGAGAACCTTAGTATAGCAAAAGACATACTATAATTCATGTAGTCGACCTCAATTAGTTAGAAAAAAGTTCAGGCGACGACGATGATATTTATTTCCCATGTTTATTTAAGACAAGTTGGCCCAACCTAATTTGTTTTAGTTCGGGCGCAGCTCGTGCCTCATTATCATGGATCCAGGCCAGGTTATTAAAACATTGGATCCCAGGCCTATGCCTACTCTGCATTGTTTGGGCCCGAACGCAAGTCAAATTTGGCCCGCTGTGAACCGGTCCATTCACAACCATACTCGTTGGTGCTCAATATTTCTCTCTCCCTATGTATAATTTCAGAATTAGTTATTCTCTCCCTAAAATATCTCCACTCTTGAGATTATGCATGTGTTAAACATCTCTCTCCATCCATGTGAGATTTCACATGTGTGAGATTAATTTTATTTTTTATCAATATTTAAAACTTTATTGAAAGGTTAAAAAAATATTACATCAAGAATAAACAAGAGAATGAAGCCCAACACTCCCTTTAACCAAAGCATCAGGAACCCCATTAATTTTTCGAAAAACATGGGAGAAGGGAATAATTAAAGAAGCTCACACGTTTAAAATCTATAGCCACAGAGATCGAAGCGCCACTGTATGAGATTAATTCTCTCTCTTCTCTCTATCCAACATCTCTCTCTACCTATGAGGCTACTACATAGGTGTGTCCATTTCTCCCTTGTGGGATTCCAATATTTCTCTCCTCTCTCTCTCTAACACTTGTGAGACTTCACACGTGTGAATAGTTTTCTCTCCTCTCTCTAATAAAAGACTCAAAATCTCTCTCCTCCCCTCCCTTTCTCTCTCATTATGCGAGATTTTGCACGTGTTAAAGGCTCTCTCTTCACCCTCCAACGTCTAAAATCCTCACCTAACTATTTGGTACGTGTATTGCACAATGGAGAATGTTAGGAATTAAAAATTCTCAATAATAGAGAAAATAAACGGATGGTAGAGAGAGCAGTGGATTTAAATTGTGTGTAGAGGTAACATGAATGGCCAGGATGATTGAAATGGAAAATAGTGAGAAGAAGTTTGGAAAGTAAAGTATTTTTGTGTGTGGATATTTAAATCTAGAGAAATAAGATATATTTTTTAGATTAGTTAACATAAAAGATTCGGGATTGTATACTATGAGACCATTTATCTCTTTTGCAAAGCGGTCACGATTACTCTAAGCTATTAGACTAAAATTGGATGGCTTCGGTATTTCAAGAAGTTCAAAATTTTATTTTTTGAATTCTGAGTTAGTCAATGACACTCTTATAACTCTTAGACTTGAAATTTGACTGACAAAAATGATTGTCAGCTTCTTATATAAAAAATAAATGGTCTCTGTATACTTTTCCAAAAGATTATTGTAGGGCCCAGCTTTTTGAAGTCACAACGCAAATCTCATGCTAAAAAGTCGTTTCTCCATCAAAAAGTCTTGAAATAGATGCTATCAACCTCAATAATCATAGATCTTATGAAAAGGGATTTCAACATTCTAGAAATATTAAATGCTGCAATGCATTATTTAGATCGTTCATTTTTAAGCGTTCACATATTTTGCCAAATCTATATTGTTTTTAGAGCTTCAAATTTCATAGGTAAAAATAGATTTTCTGACGATTGTCAGGGTCTTTGAATCTATAACTAAAGTTTACGAAATTATATCATAGTTTTGAAGTGTTAATTTACTTGTTTTCTTCTTTTTCATCGTAAAGTTTCATCCTTATGCAAATCACACATAAAAATATCAATTAAATAGTTGAAACCTTTTACAAAATATTAAAGGGTCAAAAGATCATAAATTATATTTGAGGGCTTATTTTTATTTTTACTTTTTTTAATCAGATCGGTCCTCAAAACAAGTTCAAAATTTCCCATATAAAGCTCCCCTTGTTGTTCATTATTTCAAGTATTGAATATGTCTAATAAAGTAAATACTAACAAGCAGGTTGTTCTTTATTTCTAATAGGTATTTTCCATAATTCTGTTAAGTTATCTTTGGGGTTAATATTACCATAGTGCCATTTATTGTTTGCGCTTCCCAACACAAAACAAGGGTCAATATGTGAACTTTCAATATATATATTTTTTAGAACATACCTAATTGAAAGGGAACTCTCAAATGTTATTTGTGATCTTTTGAACGATTTTGCGAGGAATTTCATCTCCTCAATTGATAATTTTCTAGTATTTATTGTAGCATGAAAAGTTAACAATAAATGATAAACTTTATGTGGTAAAAACCATATAAAATATTCACATAAATCTTTAGGATAACCATGAACAAGATTATGTCCCTTTTCTTCTCAATTTGGAATTTTTTGGCATGGGGTATCTGAATGAGAAGTATTTTAACAAGATTCTAGCTAAGCAACTTAAATGAGCCCTAGATTTAGAATGCTCGAGCATCATATTAAAAAATGGAGTATTCTAGACAATGATCAAGATTTATCTATGGATATTTTTAGATAAATTGAGCATATATATATATATATATATATAAAAGAAAGACCTATGTGATCTTTTACCGAGGAATACATTTTTTTTTTTTCACCCCTTTATTTTGGTAAAAGCTCACTTACATGTGGTCTTTATTATAATAAGATAAATTTCAAAATAAAATCAGTATAACAATAAAACCAAGATCTTAACAACTTGATGCCATTGAAATAACTATGCACTATGCTTGAAAATAAAAGATAAGATTGCAAGAAACAAAAGGAAGAGTGCCGGAGATTACTTCAACCGGGCTTATTACACCCCACACTGAGTCACCACCATTCGATGGTGCGGGATCAACGGTCTAACTTCAATCTCGAACAGGGAAAGCAAATTTTGGCCAAGCCACACCAATGGAACATGAACCCCTTTGATCACAAACTCAAATCCTAGGTGAATTCTCTTAGCAGCCTAGTTTGAGAGAGATTGATTCTCTTTTTGCTAAACCCTAAAACCCTTAGCCATAAATCCATATTTGAGAGATAGGAGAAAAAAACTCCATAACCTAAACCTTTAGGTTCTTTCACAATGTGGGAGAGAGAGATCAAACATGAGAGAGATAAAATTTCTTAAGAGAGAGAAATAGAAAGATAAGATGTAGAGATTTTGGGTAGAGACAATATCTTTTTATAGGCTTTGAATAAGATTAGGGTTTCTTAGGGTTTTTTGTAGCTTGCATCTTCTTGTGAGATTGAACATAGGCTGTCGATCAAGGGTGACTTGTGGGGTGAGAGATTTAAGCCACTCATTCCATAGATGGGTCATCAACATCATAGAAGGTGCATGAACCATTATCCCCCTTTCCTAAACCATTTTTTCATAAATAAAAATTAAATAAATTAAATCTAATCAAAATATTGTGCATACCATAAAATAGCACAAGTCTACTCAATCTTTCCACAAAATCTTTTAAAAATATATCAAGTCAATATTTAGTCAATATCTTCCAACCATATGGCCACATGCCATATCACCAAAACATAGGAAAGAGAATAAGGGTGGGGCGTGCCACCCAAGGGAGGCACTCATGTGCCCCACCTTCCAAAAATATGGCTGGCCCATGTGCACAATAGGCCTCCATGATATTTTTATATATTTAAAATTAATAAAAATATTTTAAAATATTATTTGAATATTTAAACAATTATAAAATCAATATTTTTAATTTTATAAATCCAAAAATTATAAATAAAATATTCAGGGGTTCATAAAAATTCAATTAATAATCTTAAAATAATTTTCATCATAAAACAAACACAATTAAATTAATTTGATGGGAAAATGATTCATATGGTTTAGGAGTAAACAATCATGGGGCACTCCACCTTCAATTGTGGACTACAGACCACACTTGCTTTATCAGACCGATCCAGTGTTTCCCATGACCCACTGTCTAAGTAGGGGCTCATTATCGGGTCACTAAAGTCCAGCCGATGAGTCAAGGGATCGCAATCCTAGTCTATGGATTTCAGGTCCTCCCCTAGAGACAAGTCAATCTCACCAAGACCTTGTGCGATCACAACTCTATGGCGCATAGGGGTATCTCTCGCACATGCATACGATTCACCCCCTAAGGTGGATTTTTGGCTT